AAATGAGGCTGCTTCCCTATCTTCGATCGTCGAAAGAGTGCAGAGCTCTGAATTCCTTCCCTTCTCTCACTTGAGTGTAGCAGAGAACTCCGAGCGTAGCTACTTCGGTCGACCGATGAATGGCGCTGACCGCATGCTCATCCTGCTTTCATGGAGTTCAAGTCTCTGTGAAATGCCTCAACTAGAAGACAGGTCTGAGAAGTCAAGGAAATGAAGACCGACGGCCCGCAACTAAACCATCTCCGCTTTGCTGACGACATCGTTTGGTAACACTAAACATCTAGCAAGCAGAGTGAATACCGACCGATTTCAACTGCGCGCTTGGAAAAACCGCTTTGCAGCTGAATCCGACGAAGATGATGTCCATGATGATTAGAGCCGTTCCCTCTACCCCTTCCGCTCAACGGAACCAACATCTCTGAATGCTCTAGTTATCTGCACCTTGGTCTGGAAATCCACGGCACAGCACCAGAGCTTAGCAGGTGGGTGCGAGCACTCGGGAGTTTTCAGGAACATCGAGGAAAAGACGAAGAACACCCGTGCCCAGCTCTTCAATTTCCGTGTTCCCCTGCCCTAATCTTACGCCTCGTACGCCATACATATACACTAAAGTATACCAAGTAAGCAGAGAACTGAGGCCTATCGAAATCACAAACTGAACGATGCATTCTTTTATTGCAAACGTAGGAAATATAACATCCACCCAGCTTTGAATGGGCTGCAGTCTTTTACGAGGATATTGATAAATAAGAACGCTGGCTCAAAGGAATGCCACGATAGTCCCAAAACGTGTGACCTACACGCCTAGCAGGACAGAATTCGGCGCTCCTGAGCAGACGCTGCGTAGTGCCCTTTCCAAGGAAGGACCTAGTAGCAAATTATTGCCTCATGCCTTCAAGGAGTGGTGAAGGGTTAAAATCATCAGCACGTCCGCCACTGCTCGGGCAGCAAGTATGCCTCATTTCTTCTGTTTTCGTCGCACCACACAAAATGCCGGAATTACATAAATAGGAGAAATGGAATGGAAAGAAATTCGCACGATTTCACAGCCTTGTAGGAGTTCATAGGGAAACATGCCTGGTATGTCAACAGAATCCACCAATCCCTCCCTAGCAAGGGACATGCGCCCAACAGAATCCACCAATCCCTCCCTAGCAAGGGACATGCTCCCCAGCACTTCAGTTGATCCCACCTAGATGCCTTAATCGCATTACTCTGTCGGCATTGGAGCCAAATGCCAAATGACGTGCACCCTTAATCAACAAAAGTGCATACGGCAAATGAGAACTGACAGACGCTGAAACGTAACAAACGAGATTACCAATACAGCTCGAAACATGTGGGCGGAACGTAGCCGTGTTAGTGAGCGTGTGGGTGTACTACTGTGCATGATGCTCTCAAACAGTAAGCTAAAAGCTGTCACAAGGAGTGCAATTTCGTTGCTGACGAAGGGTTCTTCATGGTTTCCTCAACAACAGGGGTCGTATTTGACCACTGGACGGGAACAGAGGGGAGGGGGTCGTAATGAGGACGACAATCAGCGCCGAACAGCGCAAAGGTGTCAGTACCGCTAAGATGTGGGTATCGTGACGTACTTCAAAGAGAACCCCGATGCGTGAAAAAAGGTTATGAAAATGGAAACGATTAACTGACAGCCTTAACAAGTTGACATAAGTTTATAAGTACGCTGATGACCAGAAAGTACAACGTAAACAGGTGCATAGGTAGGCCATGAGCCTTCCTGAATTCTATGGATCTGCTTGCGTGCACAGACATCATGTAGAAGTTGCACCATCCCACCACATCTGCGTGGAAGCCTAATGCATGGCGCATTCAGAGATGAACTAATGGGCGTTAACCTATCTTTGCCTAGTTCTATTCCAAAAAGGGATCCGTTTTAGATGCAGTCTTGTGTATAACCAGCCCCCTAAGGCTGCGTTTATACTTTGCGGCAGTGTAGCGTAGCGCTTCCAGCGTTTCACTAGCGTTTCGCTAGCGTTTGCCAGCGGCGGGGCTAGAGAGTATAGAAGAGTAGGAGAGTACAAAATACTCGGCGGCGCTAGAGAGTATAGAAGAGTAGGAGAGTACAGAATACTCTCCTACTATCCCATAGTCTCTACTCCCTGCCGCTGCAAGCGCTAGCGAAACGCTAGTGAAACGCTGGGAGCGCTAGATCGATAGCTATACATCCCGTGCCCTCGCTACGCTAGCGTTACGCTAGCGTACGCTGGTGACGCTGGGAACGCTAGATCGATATCTATCCTTTCCCCGACACTGCCGCTGGCGTACGCTGGAAGCGCTACGCTACGCTGCCGCAAAGTATAAACGCAGCCTAAAATGGCACGTAGGAAACGAGTTTTTCGCGCTGCCCGGACAATAAATCCCCAAGGCACTCATCTCATAATCTCAGGAACTTCAGAAAAAGTTGTTCCTGGGAAGAGCAGTTCTTCTTGTTACCAATACTGCCCTTAAGCTCGCAAACAGTCGCGTTGTAAGCGATTTATCTTCGTTCAAAGCAGAAAAACTCGCTACACATAATTCTGAAAATCCCCAATGGATCCGTAACGCTGCATGTTGCTCCCAACGAACCTCAAACGCTGCATGTTTCTCGGTTTCTCAGACAACGTTCGCGTATATTTTACAATTTTTCAGAAGTCCACATATAACTCTCCAAAACTGCGTTTTACTTTTTCCCATAGGTATACTATTAAGAATGCTGCCTGTAAAGAAGTGCCTTATTCAAAGCTGTATCGACAAATGTGCTCCAGCGCGACTAAAGGACTCCTCCAGCATATTCAATTTTGCGCGCGCGGGAAATAATTCAAGCTCGCAGTATGCGGCGTATTCTAAACTAGTTCTGTTATGTTTCAACAAATCGTAAAAGGAGGCCCCTTCGTGGAGGGGTGTCGTGCGCAGGGCACGCCATCGCGTTGTGATACATTTCTGCGAAAATACTAGCCCCCCCCCCTTATAAAAGGATCTCGATGCGACCCCCCCTGTCCGCTGCTAATCTGGTAGCAGCGGACCAGATTAGCAGCGGACAAACAAACACCGAAAAAAATGAAAGATCTGCGAAAATAACGACAAAAAAGACGCGACGTTAATCAAGGATAAATATGAGAAACACGATGAAAATGAGCCATAATAAATCATAAATAAATAAAACTACAAATGAATCATAAATACATGAAAAATAAAGAAAAAACGGAAAGTCTATGTGCCAGCACTTGAATATTAATTGTTCGCGGCCATGCAGAGTTGCTTGAGTTGGAGCACGCTTTGCGCCGTGGCATGGAGCGAGCTATTCCACGATCCGAATCCACTTACAAGCCAAGAACTCGGGAAGAACCTTTTGCTGAAAACCCATAATTTCCTTGAGAGTGCAGCTTTTGGAAAGGGAAAGCAGGGCGGTGGAGCACTGGGATGACACTTACTATCTGCGTTTAAGCAATTCAAAGAAAAAAAACCTCTTCTCAAGGAACTTGCTCCGTTGTGTAACCCCGTTGTGACATTTGGGGGTCATTTACTACGTTTTGAACAGCCACAACAAGCTTCATACAATGTCACTTGCAAAACAAAAGCACTGGAATCGAAGGTTTCTACGTGTTAGCAAGAATTAGTCATTGAATTCAGTGTTTACCATTAGGCTTGCTATTTTCGAAAAATCCCCGTCGTGATGTGGACGAGACCTTTCAGACGACACAAAACTCACCCCCTCTCTGACGCAGCATACCATTTACAGTCCGACTTGAAGACTTTGGAATGCTTCTAAAACGCATGTTTTCGCCAAGGGTAACAGGAAGTAGCTCACTGAGCGCAATTGGCATCGCTTCTGTAATGCGCCATGTATAGGGCTCTCACGCAGAGGTATTGGGAAGGTGCAACTTCTAGATACGGCTTCCTCGGTGCAGGCAGATGTGCTCTAGCGATCAGAAAGGTCTGGAAGTGTATTTTCATGTTTATTAATTCATGACGTCGTTGTGGGCGGCGTGTCATCGTCCGTTCCTCACTTCTGCGCTGGCAGGTTGCTTCTGTCTTGTGTGTGTCTCTTCAGGTGTTCTTCACATGAGTAAGTCTTTCATCATTGAAGCTGAACGACATCTGAGTATCGCTGCACCCTCACTTCAGAAAGGTCCCCGCGCTTACGACCCCCCCCCCTCCCTCGAGGTCAAATACGACCCCCTGTTGTGATTATCACAACGATGGCGTGCCCTGGTCGTGCGGACGCTATCAAAATCCACAACGCATGTGCCCTGATTCAGTAACAAATCAGTTAGTAATAGTAAGGAGGAGAGGTTGCGAAAAGGGGTCGTACCGAATAGGAAGGAAAAGAGTCTTAATTTGCAAGGATTTTCCACAACGCGGCAGCGCACCCCGCTCACCAATTTGTAAAAAAGACATTTTTTTTCAGAAAGTCCCACCTGAACGAACAAACCCGTGAATCTCAGATGCATTAATATAGCCAAATAAATAAGCATGACAATAGCTTCTTAGGGATATCCTGAGCACAGCGTCAAATAGCTATTCATTTATTTTAATAGTTGAAGCAAACAATATCCTCTTACCATCATATACCGCGGAAAAAAAGATCAGAAATCTGAGACACAGAAAAATGATGCAAACACCGCGCGAGCTGAATTTCGGACCCTTATCGATTCATCGATTCTGCCTAATTCGATTACAGCACGCACTATTGGCATCATTACTTCACAACAACGCTATTTTAACCACCATGTTGACCATGATACACATCCAAAATTGCTGAGAATAGACGACTACGCCACATACAGTGAGGTGATCAGCTATAAAAATCAATGCAAACGAGTAGAAGTAACCAGAACAATTTTGGCATTGGTGCAAAGAAGTGAGAATGGAAACGAATAAAACGAAGGATGTTAAGGAAGAAAATTCAGTACTCTACACAATGACTAATGACCAAAACTTACCTGCAATTCATTTTCAACAATGTAATAACGTTCGTAACAACTACAAACAAACAGTCATTTACAAGCGACTACTACTTGCGCACTCCGTGGAACAACAAGACCCAATTTCTTCGCTTCACTCTCGTAAATCAAAAGTCTCCACATCTTAACCACAAACACTTCGGCATCTTCATCAAGAATCTGAAAGAGTGCGGAATGAGAAGGGTATAATAATGATAATAAAGTTCAAGGAGGGCTTACATTGCCCAGAGTCATGGCGAGCCTGGTGAAGGAGGCGGTACAAGCGGGCTCACATGCGCAGCGTTCGCACTGGGACCCCACCGATTCAAGGCGGCAGTCAGGGAACAGCATTGTTAAGAGAGTTCCAAAGGGTCATACTTAGAGGCACGCGACGCGTTCATTTGATGTTCAGGATGGCAGTCCTGCCAGAAGCATGTAGGATATACTACTTTCGCAGCTCAGAAATACGGGTGGAAAGCGCCGCTCGCGACGGAACCCCGGCTCTGCCCACTAACCGCGGTAACGGCTAACATTTCTGGGAAGGGAAAATGGACAGAAATCTTCATCTACCTTGCTCCATTCCCTGTCCTGTAGAAGTGGTAAGCTGGAAATTTTTCCTAAAAAAAGCAGAGAATGAGGCGAACCACGTAGTATTTAAAGGCAAAGCCCGGGATCACCTATGGAAGGTAATGGAGCTTCAGTAAGTACGACATGGGACTATGTAGCCAGATAATGAAGAAAATATCAGCAACAAACCGTCCGAAATGCCCTATACAAAACCCCTTGCCTAACGGAGCTCGGGATCCGTGTACAAACTCACCCGTGCGCGTATGCGGCGCGGTTTCTTCACGGCACCGCGGCGACGGGCGGGCGAAGGGTGATCGCTTGCGTCTCCGCCACTGTGCTCCATGTGGAAGGAAAAAGCGAGAAAGAGGATGAACAAAAAGCGGATGCTTATAGGTGGCTTGGCGGTAGTGGTGAAAGAATACAGAAAAGTTGAGTATGAGAGCGTATTACTCCAGTCAACGGCGAAACCGGCTAAAT